GATTCCAGCCTGTCCGGATATTCAAAGCTTCCACTGTCCGGATACTAGTTTTCGTTGTGCAAACTGTTCAACATGCTCAAGCACCAGTCGTGTACTGAGCATGTTGAACAGTGTGCGCAACGACGTCGACAATAAGCGCTATAAAGTGGCTACTTGAGTGTTAAAGCTAATGGATGATTGATGCCCTGGCCTCAAACTCCTGAGCAGTCCCGTCCTGGGACCACTTCATGAGCCGTCGCTGTCACACTCGACCACCTGTGAGATATGGTCTGGTCGTCTCGTCGTCGAGTACTTAACTGTTATTCTCTTTTGGGCTTGTTGTCGTCGGGGTTGTTTCCATCGTCGTCGCTCTGTATATTGTTGATCTCGGCGCGGTTCTTGGCGTGCTGCACGAGCTTCATCAAGCTATCAAGCACGCGCGCCTGCTCTTCTTTGGACGTGCAGAGGAGCGTGAGCTTGACATGTGCGTCGTCTTCGATTAGAAGACACGGAGACGCCTCTTCGTCACTATTTGCAAGCATCTTTGGGAGCAACGTGATGACGCGCGTGAGATGCATGTGTCGCGGGTCGAGCTCAAAGGCATTTTCCATTGGCCGCGCCGGGGGTGTACCCCAGAGCCACGTCGCGAGCCGCCACGCCAAGGTCGAGTACGTCACGTCCATATAGACCCAGTGCTTCTACGTACACATTTGGATTCCTTCCACTCGAAGCACCACAAGCACCTCGAAGCCAACGCGCGTTGTCCAGCCCCGGGTCGTCTACACACCCGACACAATAGAGCCGAGAACAACCACGGTAATCAACGCGTGAAGTACCTCGGTGAGGACCTCGACTACAACGCCAGGGCCTGTGAGGTCCGAGACAAAGTCAATGTGGTTCTGACGCGCCTTCTCGGCGGCCGTGAGTGCAGCGCCCGAGAGGTCGGCTTGCAGCTTCTTTTGCCGCGCGGCCGACACCAAGATGCGATTGTGCCGGCACAAGCGGAGAATCTATCACTATCTCGTTATGACGACGCACCTTTTGCTGTTTGCAGATCAACCTCGGCCTTGGTAAGCTCGCGCGACGGGTCGTCCTCTTGGTTCGTCGACATGGCTCTTCAACGTGGGCGTTTCCCTTTCTGTCTTGGAACGATAGCAAAATGCGATTTATGGCGCCACCCAATGTACACCAAGCGCTCGTGTGCTCGTCTTACCTTCTCTCTAGTGCCCCATGTGCGTATACCACAAGCACGAAGCCGACCAAGCTTTGGCTGACTATGAGGCGTTGAAAGCGCACTCGGAGTCGCAGCTGGCGCAGCTCCACAAGGTGCAGCAAACGCTCGAGGGAGAGATGCACGCCATGCACGCAACCATCGAAACTCTGGGCGCGACGAATCTCTCGCTCATTGAGCGACTCGCGGTGCGCTCGGAGGACCTACAGCCCAACAAAACCCGTGTCCAAATACCCACCCCGTGAGATTTGCTTTGGTATCGATAGAGGGGTGTCATGAGCAACTAGAAGACGTGCGTCTCCACCGCGCCCGCCCAACGCACAGATTGCACTCTTGCAGGCTCAGGCACGATATGCGTTCTCGATCTCACACAGGAAGTCGTCATCAAGTAGCGCAGGTCGCGCAGTACAAAGCCGAGGTGCACCGTCTCGGGGCCCTTTGGACCAAAGCAACGATGGAGGCGGACAAGCAAGCCACGCAATTCCTGCTGCTAAAACGGTCGAATGACGTCGCGCACAAGCGACTGCTCTCAGTACGACCCTCTTTATCCTGCATTTGGTTCACTCTTGATGTGTATAGGACCAGAGGGGACTCATGGTGCGGCTCGATGCAACAACCAACGAGCTCCACTTGGCACGCGAAAAGGTGTCCGCGCTGCAAGCCCAAGTCCACGCGCTCGAGCGCGCGCTCGTCCAGATATACCCAATACGCGAGTTGTGACACCTTGTTGTTGTCTACTGCACACTGCACACTTCGCTCTTGGTTTGGTTGGATTTGGCCGCTGCATGCAACTGCGGTTCGTGGCCAGCGAACGCGACGTCAAAGACAGCCGAGACGGGGCGGTGGTCGGACGTTCGAATCTCCGTGTGGCTCTCATACGACCGTAGTTGGATCGTATTCTAGCACATTTTTTTCAACCCTGAATAAACACATTCGGTACCGGCTGGAGCGTGGCGTAAAGTATGCGATCGGTCCACGACGGTATTCGTTGCTTGGCCGACGTATCGTACGCGTCGGAGCCTACGTCTTCCTTCTTGGTATCGCCCACAAATCAGAAATATCGCACCCTTGTCAAACTTGTACGTCGGGCGAAAATGCAGCGGGCCTTCGTGGAAGCGCTAGATCACTCCTATGGGCACCCACCCACATGTTCCTCAACCGCTACAAACCTGAAACACGCGCTGGGCGTCGCGCTCCTTTGTGAGCTGGTCGTTCGCGAGTAACACCTAGCCCTTGTGTTAGAACTCGGAACATAACGAGAATTCAAAGTGATCACGTTGTGCATGTCACGCGCAAGGAGGGTTTCGATCATGCGCCGTGTCCCGTCGATGCGGTAGTTGAGGTCGCCGCTCCAAAAGACGCGGTCAAAGACATCCGAGATCGGTCCGACTCGGTCGTCGCACTTTCTATCAACATGATTGTCGTTGGTGACGATCAACGCGGGATGTCTCATAGTACGCAACAGGGAGCAGCCGGAGCTCGGCGTTGATTTTTGCAAAGTTGGCGTTGCGCCGCTTCAGAGCGTGTTGTGACTGGTGCGCCTCAAAGTGCGCGTTGATGAAGGCGAAGCGCGTGAGGCCGAGTTGAAAGCCGATGCCGACGCCGCCTACAGAATCCCATTTATCACGATAGCATCGACCAGTAGCGTACCTTTGTTGCCGAGCTGGTTCCCGATCCCGGTCGCGATCGCGTCCGACTCGAGGCTCGTGACCAGCGAAAGGACACTTTTGTGTACAAATACCATGTTGTGCATCGCCGTGAGCGCGTGGCTGCGCAATTTGATGTAATCTGTTGGCCCAAGCGTCGCGCGGATTTTGTCTTCCCACTCCTTTTTGGACTGGAAGAGCACCGACTTGGCGATTCTACGTCAAAACATGAGCCACCGGCAACGCGCCTTAGAAGACGTACGTCTGAACACACTCTTCCGTGCCGATCGCGTATATGTGACACGTCCCGGGGCGCAAAAGTGGCGACAGGTCCGGTGGAGGCTTGTGCGCCTGAAGATTCCACGTCAGCACGAGGACGCGGACGCTACCCGCCGCGAGCACCGACTCTGTCGTGTCCTGCGAGACGTCTACCACAAAAACTCGCTGACATCTGTGCGATCGAGACGTGCTGCGTCGCACCGAGAGACGACTCAAGGGTCAACGGACTCGGCCATGGAGTCGGCGGGTCCTCTTCTGCTGCCTTGGCATCGCTCGGTCGCTCCGTGTCGGGAATGAATTCTGCAGGCGGCGCTTCATCGTCGTCGTCGTCGTCGTCAGAAGGCGGGGCAATTCCGACTTGGTTTTTCCGCACCGAGTAGCCTCGAAAGTAGGCTTGTACTCGCGTGGCCGCCGACTCTACCCGATGGCTCAATACGATCCAAGGTGCAGCCGTACCAAGCTTGGGGCTCACAGCGTCGCTGCGTGGTGTGGCCAAAGCAGAGCTCGGGGGTGAACTACGAAACGACAAAGTCCCGTCGCTGCCATGTGCGTGCTTCGCCATACCTCGCGTCCCCGTCGGTCGCCTCCTTCTGTCTACTGACGACCATCAAAGGACAAACTCGTCTCAAATGCGTACGCGGGCGGTGTTGCGTCGCGTGCACTTGGTGGACGGCTGCCACTGGCGAGAGTGAGCGCGCTGGGTGGTCGGCTTAATAGATTGGTCGCACTCGAAGGGCGGCTGCTGCTTTTAGGAGTTATCGCCCGCGCGGACGGAGGCCGGCTTGCACTCGGCGCCTTGTCTCGACTGCTGGCCAGTGTTCGATCGAAAGAGAGGTCCTTGGCACTTGCAGACGTTGGCAGCTTCCTCGCACTGCGCGGCTGACTCCGGTGGAGGTCGTCTGCGCTGTGGCAAAGTGCGCTATGTAGTTGGCGTCGCCGACCATACGTCTCGGTGCTACATGCAACTACCTCAATACGAGCCGAGGCACGTCGACGGCGGGTGTCGCTATGCATTCTGCGTCAGCTGCACACAGATGTAGCGAGGACGAAGAACCTGGCTTGTCTTCGACAGACGGCTCGGGCGGCGCGGGCGCAATGCTCGACGAGATGTACACGCGGGTCTGGGCGCCTCGCACGAGCGATTGGATCTTGGTCGCTGCCGCCTGCTGCTTCTCGTGCTTGCGTCGGCGCGCTGCATGCTTGCGCTCGTCCTTCTTCTTGCGCAGCGCATCGTCCGTGCGCTTCTTTCGCCGGATCTGGCAACCGCATTATGAGACGCATGGGATCTGCAACGCGCCAACCTCGGCCGTCGGGTCGTCGGTCATGGGCGAGATCTTGCACGGGTTGGCCATCGTCCGCCGACGCTTCGCAAGATCGCACCTCCGGCGGCCGTTTTGCAATATCATTGTGCTGCCCATGTTGAAGTTGCTGCTACTCATATGAGCTGGAAAGCAAAGACGACCAGTAAAGGCCGAAGCCGGTGGATGCAAAACCAACGCGTTATCAAGTCTCATCTAATGCGACGTGCCCATCGTCCAGTGGTTGGGACGGCGCCCGTCCTTGCGCTTGGAGCGGTCGCTGCGCTGGAGTACCTCGAGCTGCAATTTCCACTCCTGCGCCTCCTCAAGGTCGCCTTGCGCAAGGAACCGGAGGTCCTGGCGGTTCCGGCTGTCGGACGGCAGCACCTTGTCATCCGGGAGCCACACCACCGGCGCGCACGCATCCTTGTGCAGTGACCAGTACATAGTGTCGTCAAAACGGAGGTCTTCGAGCCACGACCCGCTCACGTCGCAGATCTCGTCGCCAAAGCGCGTGATCGTGCCCCGGAAGCGGTCCGTCGGCAGTTTGTTGGAGGCAAACATGCCCTTCTTCGAGTCCGGGTCGAGCTTCAAGTCGCAGCGGAGGCCGTTCACCTTGTCCTCAAAGACGATCGTGCCGACAAAGTCCACGACGCGGTCGCCCCAGAGGAAGCCGCCGAGGCGCACGCCCGGCAGCGAACACTCGATGAGCGTGCCGTCGTTGAACGAAATGCGCACCGGTCCTTGCTGCACTTGGACGAGGCAGTTGCCTTGCATCGAGCCGTTCATGATCGACTGGGCCGAAATCGAGTACTTTTGGCCCACGATCTGAAGAAAACTGATCGGCGGGTGGTGGCTCGTGTGCTCGCCATAGACCTGCGCGCCGTCGGCAAACTCGGCCTCAAAAGTCTCGCCGAGAATCGGGTTGAACGGCTTCATGCAGCCAACACCGTGGTGCCAGCCCGCGATCGCAAACGTCATTGTGAGCTTGAAGCGCTCGAGCATCTCGGTCGCGTCCGCGGCGCGGTTGAGGTAGTTGGGCGCGTACAAGTAGAGGTCGACAAGGCGCTCCAGCATCGAGCGCGGCTCAAAGATGCGCACGGGCAGCGAGAGACTCACAGCCGACTTGCCTTCAAGGAGCTTGGTGCCCATCGACTTGATGACTTCCATGAGCACGCCGTTCTGCTTTTTCGCGACCTCCTTATCCGTCAGCTTGACGCCACCCGTCGGGATCTGCAGCATGAGCTTGAAGTAGTCGCGCGGGTGGAAGACCGACGAGCTAGCGTCGGCCACGTGCGTCTCGTGGGCCGGCGCCGTCGGCGCGTCGCGCGTGTCGTCGTCGTCGTCGTCGTCATCAATGTAGCCCAAATTCGGGCCGTGGATCTTGGCTTGGTGCACAAACTCGGCAATCGCAGAGAGAATCTGCATGCGGCCGTGCAGCACATTGGTCATCGTAGCCGCGGGCACCCACCCGCCGAGGTTCAAGTCCGTCACATACGTCAATAACGTCGACTCGGCGTCCAGGGGCTCGACGAGCCATCCCGACGTGCCAATGTGGCCGCGTACGACGCCGGTCGGGACGGGCTTGAGCTCGTTGGCGACCGACATCTCGAGGATCACCATGGCGGACGGCACAGCCGACATGCCCACTGCGTCGAGCACGTTCTGGCACGAGAGGCGGTCGTTGCGCTTCGCATGGGGCGTCGACGCCTCGTAGACGTGACGGAGGACGAGCAGATCGCGCGGCACAGCAAGCGACCGCCAATCAATGCTCGACGCGAGGCCACCGAGAACGGCGGCGCAGGCCGAGTGCACCACGTCGCCTGCAAGCAGCGTCGAGAGGGCCGCGCAGCCAAGGGCAGGCAGCGCCGTGTTGGTCGTTGCCACCAGCGGGTCGGCAAAGAGGTTGTACGGCGTGCCGCCTGCGAGGTGGATGAGGTCGGTGGACCCGCCGTAGGTCGCGACGTGCGTCGACACTGGGAAATGCACATCCCACTCGTTGCGCTTTTGGTGGTCGAGGATGATGCGCAGGGCGACAGAGGGCAAGGCCTTGATCGCGACGCTGCCGCGGACGTACTGCTTGCCCGTCGCGCCGTGCGTCGCCGTCGACACTCGGACACCGTTGTTGGCGCCATGAAAGTGAAAGTGAAGCGGGTGCTGCGACGACGGCTTGTTGAAGAGGAGGCACGAGAGCAGCTCGGACGCGCTCGAGAGTTGGTTTTCGAGACGAATGTTGGTCGGCTGCGTCGGCACCTTGGGGCCGTGGCTCGCTTGCGACGTGGGCTGTATGCGGCTGCGCGACGCTTCAGACGTCATGGGCTTGCGCGCCGGCGACGGTGGTGCGTGCTGCTGGCTCATCGGCTTTTGCCGCCCCTCTTCTTCGTCGAACGGCGTGATGGTCGTGCCGCCGACGCTCGTGTTGCGCTCGAGGCGGTGCTTGTGCTTGACTTCTTGAATGCGCGCGACGGCCTTTGTGAGGACGCTGAGCCAGTCGGAGGCGACGCCCTTCTCTTCGGCCGAGAGGCAGTACATGGTGCCACTGGTGCCGTCCGTGAGGTAAATGCGCGGCGAGTGCCACGTCTCGCTGAGGCCACCGTCTTGGACAGACGCCGACTCGAGCGGGATGACCGCGTTCGGCTTCTTGTCCTTGCTCGAGATGTAGTAGCTCAGCGACCGCCCGTCGCAGACAAACCAGCGCTTCTTCCAGCCCTTGAGGAGCTGGCCCTTCTTCTGCAGGTACCCTTCCTTCATGTACGTTGGGTCATAGTTGGGCCGGCGCTCCAAGCCGCTTCCTTCCTAGTACAGGACCTCATGAGCATCACCACCTCCTTGCGAGCGACCGACGCACCTCAAGCTCCGACATCGTTCGTCGTTTCGTCAGTGTCAGAAAAGGGCAATCCGAATACGATTGTACTTTTCAAGGGAATAACCCTTTGAGATCTCGTTTATCCGGAATCAACGGTGGCGTGGCAGTGTTGAGCGTAGCACGGCTTGAGCTCACATCAAATGCAACGTGCAGCAGTCTTCTTCGAGTATGTTATCTGAGTCAGAGCCAGGATGCGACCTTAGTCGAAAAAGTCCTTCACCTGTAGACTGCAACGAGCGGACTTGAAACGGTGCTGACCTCGAACGACTACGGTGCATGCGTACGGAGAGTTCGTCGTGCAGCAAGTTTGCTCATCAGCAAATGTATGTACCCTTACTTGTGCCGTATGACACAACTGCGCCCCGTGCGCGCTCCCCTGTGCCTAGCCTACACCTTCCATGGCGCCGCCTGGGCACTAACTGGCGAACCATGACATCAGTATCCAGCAACAACAATATATGAATGCGCCTGCCACAGCCAGTATAGGTGAGGTGGTTAGGTAGATATGTAGATGTATGTGTGTGTACGCTTGGTGCAATAGTTGTGATGTATCGCCAAACGCGAAAACTTTGTCGTGATCTTTGGTTTCTGAACTTGACCGGAATTGCCACATCCAAGACAGGGTGCTTGGCACGCGCTGATTCGTTTAAATAGGACCAATGAAATCTCGTATAAATAAGCGGCTCGATTACGCAGGGGTGCCATGGAGGCTAAACTTATTCCAGGAGAAGGACCGGGACATGAACACCTCCTCGCTGTTGTCGGAGAGAACCGAGTCGGCGCTCTCAGAGGAGCCGACAGAGTATGGCGACATGAGGCTCTCGATCGGCCGCTGCCTCCGCAGTTCCGTGGGCCGCATGAGCGAAGGCGTTTCGCCCACCTCTTTCGGCAGCTCGGTCTCTTCGGCGATGACAACGGTGCCACGACCGCCGCCAGACGCCGCACGAGTCTTGGCCTTGGGCTCGACATCGTCTTCGAGAAGCGGTATCTGCCGCGCGCACGTGAGCAGATCGCTGGTCCGCACCGAGTCAAAGTACGACGCGCGGGCTTCCAACGGGCTCGCCGACTCGATCGGCTGCAGTGCGCGCTTGCTCTGCAAGAGCATGTCGTTGGTGCCAAAGGCCTCGAGGAACGTTTCCATCTTGCGCGACGACGTGGGCGGGTGCAGCATCGGGACATCGTCCTTGGCGCTTGCGCTCGCGGGGCGATAGAGGAAGAGGAAGCCAAAGATGCTGATCGTGCACACCGAGATACCGACAATGTAGGCGATGTGGAGTGTCGACAACGGCGGCGCCGGGCCTACTCGCGATGTTACGAGACGTGACGTCGTGTCAAGCGCTCACCAGGGACGGGTGTCGGGACATTGGAGGATTTCGGGTCGAGCGGCGGTATTCGGCTCGTCGTGCTGTTGGTATCAAGGCGCCGCACCGCCGCTACAGGCTTGGGCATGAGATCACGCGACACAAATAAGAATTACGAACTGCAGTCGATGGATGGTGGGTCGTAGGTGGGGCAGCGCGCGCCTGTGGGCTCGATGCACACGTAGGCACCGGTCTCAGGCTGCGGCAGGAGGCACGACGGGCAGCGCTCGCGGCCGCGGTGGCACGTCTTAGCCTCGCGCGTCATGCAGCGGTCGATCGATGTACAGAGATGCGTCGCGTTGCGCGGTGCGAGGCCCGCGGCCGCCGTGTGGAGCAGCAGTAGAAGGAAGAGGCGGCGGGTCATCGCCCTGCGAAAAGAAGGCTGCGATTCGGTCCGATCGAAGCACCGTGATGGGGCCGCACCAGCTGGTGGCGCCTGTCTGCCTATCAGAAGCATGGTCGTAGAATCGTGCGGGCAAAGAACGCGTGCAGATGGCGACAGGGGAGAGGGGTCGTCGTCAACGGCGCTGCATGTCAAGCGTGGGTTCATCACATAGGACGGATGCACAATGCAGGGTCCAGTCGCTCGTGCTCCGGATCCTCGGACTTGCTGTTTGCTCCATGCTCCATGAGGCTGGCATCGCAGTGATAATGTAGCTCACGGCGCCGCGCTGGCGCGTTGATTAATAAATCCTATTCAAACTAGTAGTTGCGTCTCGCGTCTAAATGCGGGCCTCCTTGCCGTCGTAGTCGGTCATGTAGCTGTCGCGACTTGCCTGGGACATGCGCGACTCGTACTCGCTCGCCGTCTCGTACGCTGAGAGCTCTGAGACCATGCTGAAGTGCGAGTACCGGCCGTCCATGCCTTTGCTAAACGACGTCGACGACCGGTACAAGTCTTGGTCGACGATGTCAAAGTCGTCTTCGGCAAGGCCGTCTCCGAGCTTCTTCATTGGCGCGTGCTGGATGACCATCATGTCGTCGTCTTCTTCGTCCTCGAGGATCGCAATGTCGTCGGTCGCTGTCGGCTTGGTCACGACAAAGTGGCTGCCGACGCCGACGGACGACCCGACGCTGAACGAGACGAGCTTGGCCGAGACGTGCGTTTGCGACGGCGGCGACGCGTCCAGGATGTTGCTGTCGCGCACCTTGTCCTGCAGAACGACGAACGAGCCGCTGCCACGACCATCTTCCATCTCGGTGAGCGCGGTCGGGTTGTACGCGGGCGTCTCAACGGGCTTGGCAGGCGGCGGCACGCGCGCCTTGTCGCGGCTGCACTTGTACGACATGTAGCCGAGGAAGAGGATAGCAAACGCGACGAGCCCAATACCAACAAAGGTCTCCGCGCCCATGACGACTGCTACTGAGGACCAGTTTGATTTTGAAATCGCGTGGGTGAGGCGTGGGCGAAGACGACGTGTTACACATCTGGTCAAGTTCGATCGCCGCCGGCCACTCGATACGAACTCTGAGTCGTTTGGCCGCAGCTGGTGCAGCCGGTCAAGCGGTGCGACCGCTCCTCCTCCGCGCTGGCTCGTCGACGCCGCCGACGCTGCCTTCCATCGCTGCCATCTCGGCTTCTCTCGATGGTCGCTGGCGCGTAGAGACTTGGCGACACGCTCGGAGATGATATTGGATGCTGCTGCATGGGCGATGTGTAACTGGGCTGTTATCGGCCCAAAGTGTTATAACACGTGGCGACACGACAACACAGCGTTTGCCAGAGGCGGTCTTGAAGGTTCGTGGTCCCAGCCGCGTCAATTTGCAATGCAGAGAGGCAAGTAGACGTACTTCCGATACCACTGGCTACCATCGCTGCATCAGTCCAGTGAGAGTGCAGTTGCTGCCATCTCGGTACCAAGCAGAGATCGGGACAGCGTGCACAGGCGCAATCACATCGACTGTCCACACACGTGCGTGCGTACGATCCGCGCACGATTGTATATACACCTGACACCTCGGACTAAAGCCAGCGTCACGTGTCCTATTTGAACTTGCATCTGTGGTCGTCCTCTTCCTCGTTTCAAGGCGCGTCGCGTACCTCCACCACGAGGCCTTCCTCGTTAGAACTTGAAGCGCTGTACAGTATATTTCCGTGGCGCTGGCAGACGCACATAGGTTTTCTGGCATCATTATCGCTCGCAGCGCAGAAAACAATGCGAATGTCAATGACCGATGGCATGGAGGCGCATGAAATGTAGACCGTCGTTGCGAGTTATAACACTTTGCACCTAGCCCTAGCCTGGGATAGCGGACGCTGGATGACTGACATATTGGTGTATATAATTTAGTAGGATGGAAGCGACGTTAGATTTCAACCTCCTTGTCGCGCTCGTCGTCGTCCCACGAAACGCGGAGCTTCGGGTTGTTGTTGTCGCGCGGGTCGTCCGAGAGGATGGAAAAATTGCTGTACCGCCCATCGAGTACGAGCGAGTTGGTCGACCGGTACTGCGACACCGAGTCTGAAATGTCGTCGGTCGCTGTTGTCGGGAGCGGGTAAAACTGCGCAAACGACACCGAGTCGATGTACTCGTGGATCGTACTGTGCGGTTGCACGTCGTCGCGGCCCTGGCCGAGAATGCTCTGCACGTCGCCAAAGCTCGACGGCGTTGGGAATGAGCGCAGTGAAAGGTCGTCGTTCTGCGACGAGAAGCCCGAGTTGATGCGCTGGAGCTGCGACCCATGCATGGCGATGCTGCCGCCGCGCTTGAATTTACTGTGTGGTGGCGGATCCACGAGCGTCGGAGGCGGACACGGCTGGCGCGGCCGCTTCTCGCGACGATACATGAGCGCGCAAACACCCGCCACGAACATGAACGCGACGCCCATGCCAATCGCAATCATGAGCACCGTTTGACTCGCCGTAGCCGAGCTAGCGCTGTTCGAGTTGGCGCCTTCGCTCGGTCCCGGTACGTTCTGCGTACTGTTGTTGGCTGTTTGTGTCGGCGTCGTTGGTAGTACCGTCGTCGGTGTAGCTGTTGTTGTTGCCGTCAGCGTTGTTATTGGTGTCGGCGTCGTAGTTGGTACCGCCGTTGTTGTTGGGGTCGGTGTTGTTGCGTTGCTGCCAGAGCAGTCGAACATTGTGAGCTCCGACTTGTCTGTGAACGGGCACGACGGGCCTGTTTTCGCCCAACAAAGGTACCCGCCCTGTGCGTTCGCGTAGAGACATGGAGGACACGCACCGAGTTGGCGGTTGCACGGGGTGTTGGTGATGGTGAAGCAGAGCACGACGAGCCGGCACAAGGAGGGGTCTTGCACCGCCAGCGTCGCCGCAGCTGTGCGTGAGGTGCATGAGCCTCGACATTGCCACGAAAGGTCGCGTACCGTGGAGAAGCACAAGGATAGCGGTGGTAGAACCGTGCATGCTGCAAGGCCCAGAGGCAAAATGGCCGACTTACTGCGAGCCAGGAGCAAGGAGGCAGCCAAAGAATGTCCATCTGCTAGGATTCGGTGGCGTGTCAATGATGGAGGCATATTTTTTGCCATTTCCGCGCCCTACCTAGACCAAACAGGCGGCCTTTGACGCAGACAATCCAGACGAGCGGAAAACACGCAACCAGACGGGGCAGCAACGGGCGGCAACACGGAGCCGCTCGTGCTTGGTCCAAGTCGCGTCATGGCAGTAGCGGTTGCTAAACCTGCTGGTGATCTCCATCGTTCGACGCAGCCGGGCCTTGCTTCGACAAGCGGCAAACAGTCATTTCTTCAGCATCCTGAATGTCCGGGAAGGCGGCTTGCACAGAAGCTACGGCAGATCCTATGCAAAAAATCACACCGTCCTCGTTTGACGGCCAATGTTGTCGGTCGTGCATGTAGCCTTTGGGTGCTAGAACGACTGATATTGGAAGTCTCTTCACAAAGGGTCCGTGTTTGCTCTTTGTCCCGACGCAACGTCAATGGCGTGCATATAGGACCTGCTGCATGCACGCAGCTAGATACCAGTACGCAGCTCTCGTGCCACAAGAGGCGTGGCGTCATGACGAATGAGCTGGCGCGCATGACAGTTGTGTGCGTTTAGACCACTGGCAAGGTACGTGTCCCAACAAAGAGCATACAAACGCCAAGTCGAATCAGATGCCTTGGGCATATTTTACGCCCGGAAATTTCCCGGCGAACTGCCGTTTGCCAAAGCCGCAGGGCGCCGCAGAGCCGACTGACAGCATGAGCCAAGGATACGACGACGGGCTCTTCCCCGCGGGGGACGCGCCGCCCAACCCCTTTGCGGCGCCGCCACGAAGGCCGTCGGCGTCGCCCTTTGCGTCCGGGTATGCATCGTCTTTGTGGACGGCCAAGGACCTAAATCGGCGAGTAGGCCTGTAGCGCACGTCAACCCGATGAAGCCGGGCCCAGGACTACCGCTGGCTGGCGGTGGTACGACAACTGACTATAGATGTACATATGTGCTTATGTGAGGACACGTAGGTCTTGGTGCTCGGGCACCAGCGACGAGCCAACTGAAGACCCCGATGGTCGTCAAGCCGACAGCCGACTCAAGCGCGAGTCCTTTTGACCACGTCGCAGACTACTCGACGGCCAATACGCAGTTTCACACTGCAGACCTCAGCGACCCTTTCCAGCACGTAGCGGAGGCGTCGACGCCCTTCCAGCATGCGCCACCAACGACCCCGGCGCAACCAGCCCCTGCGTCCAACTTCAATTCTGCAGACTCGGCCTCGGACGAGCTTGCCAACATGTTTGGTGGTCCACCACCAGCGGCCAAGCGAGACAGCTTCTCTGACGCGCCGCGCACCTCGTCCATGTCGGTACGTCCGGAACGCGACTTGTCGTTGAGTCTTACACGTCGAACGTCAGGACCCGTTTAGTGCTGCGACCGCCGTGGCCCCGCCGCCGCCGGCCGCGCCTTTCTTGGGATACAACCAATCGCCGTACGCAAGCTCGAACACGTCACCGATGTTTGCGGGCCCGACGCACCCGTCGCCGTCGTTCGCGCACCGGCAGCCATCACCGCTCAGCCGGTCGCCATCGCTCACATCGCCACAGCGCCAGACCGCGACGCAGATCCTTCCGCCGCCACGCAGCGTCGCAGAGCTCTTTGAGGCGTTTATGGCGCAAGTGTCGCCCGAGATGCACCCAACGCCTCTTCCGGCCTTTGACGGCACCGAGGATGGTCTTCGGTTGCTCTACGACCACCAGCGCTGGAAGTCACTCGAGGCGGCCGCTGCGTCCATGGCCCAAACCAACGATGTCGCTGCGATGCTTGCTGCGCGCGTACGAAAGAAGGACGTTCTGCCGACTCAAGTTGTTTTTGTAGTCGTGGCAGCTCGTCGCACTGTACAAGCAGCGCAATGTGACGGCGTTCGAGGCCATCGTCCGAGGCCTCGGCGATCTCGATAGCCCGCAGTACCAGTGGGCGACATTTTCAGAGGTCTGCGTCGCTTCGAGAGACCTCTGTCCCACACTTTCCTTCTAGTCTGGCAAGACGGGGTCCATGGTTCCCTGGCGCCTCCACTTTCTCGCCATGCAGCTACCGCGCCTTCAGAGTACACACATCTCCTGCGACGACGAAGCAATATATTGACGAAGCATGGTAGACAACTATCTCGAGTACGAAGCCGCTTCGGCGGCCTTTGTCCAGCGGCTCGATGGCGCACAGGACGCTGCGGCTGATGTGTGGCGGGACATGACGACCGGCGCCATGATCAACACGTTCATTGAGCGCAAGAAGCTGCACTTGGCGCTACGTCTGAGCGTCCACTACCTCGTACGAGCCTTGCTCCAGTCGTGTATGTATGACATTCTTTGCAGACGACCAACGCGGGTCGCTTCTCGCCGTGGCAAGAGCTGCTTTGGACGTCGCGCGTCGGTCGCGTGCACCTCCAAATGGGCAACCTCGTCGCCGCCGAACGCACGTTTGCCAAAGCCACGACACTCCAGGCTTCGATGGTTCACGGTCGGATTGCGATTTGACAACGCGTTGTTGACTCACTGGATCAGTAGACTGCTCGGCGCGTCTTCTGTTGAACCAGGGGTTGCTCTTCTTTGCGCAAAACAAGGTACCCTCGTAACGCTGTCGACGCCCGCTCACATCCACCACCACTAGTTTAAGGAAGCACTCGACACGTTCAACACGATCCTCGAACTGCATGCAGCACCCGAGCCCATGTACGTTGCTACCGACCCGTTTGTGACGATCGACGACGGCGACGTGGCGTCGTGCGCGGCCAACAACCTGGCGATCTGCGCCCTCTACTCGTGCGAGGTGCTCACAGCGGTGAACGTGCTCGAGTCGGTGCTCCAGAGCGATCCGCGCCGCCACTTGAACGCCGCGCTTGTCTTCAACCTCAGCACGCTCTACGACTTGGTGTGCGACAATGCCAACGCGACGAGCCGCAAGGAGGCGATCAAGCGGCTGGCAGATGCGTACAGCGTCGAACACATTGAGCCGAGCAGCTTTCGCATCTAATAGAATTCGCTCTTCTTGCGTTTGTTGGAATGCGAAGTGTCTTCGTCGTCGTTGTCCGCTTTGGCGCGCTTCTGCGCCTGCTTGGCCGACTGAAGGTGGACATGCGACGTCCAGTACTGCTCTTCGGCAAGGCCCGTCATGCCCGTCATCTCGATCGTCACGTCTTGGAGCTGCAGCGGATGGGCGGCAAAATGTCGCAGCACTATTCCCATACAGTGAGATGTATTGGGATCGCCATGCTTGACCAAGAAATATACCGTTGGCCGAGTGCGACGTCGACAAGAAGCGCGCCACGACGACGGATCCGCCGGCGCGGAGCTTGGTGTCGTCGAGAAAGGCAACGGGCGCAGCGACTTCAAGCGCGGCCTTGAGCGTCTTCCGAGGCGTCTCCACGGGCACGTTTGTGAGCTGCACCAGGAGGCCCCGGGTGAAAAAGTCGGGGGTTGGCGCCGCGGAAGCGCTCTCGACAGCATGCTGAAGCGTGCTGCAGGACGATGTGTCCGTGTGTGCCATGGCCATCTGTGCTTTGAGGCTATCGCGCAGCGCGACCCAGCGTGTCTTTGCCATGCCCGAGATGCCGGCCGTCGGCGGTGCGTCCGGCGATGGTGTCGTCTTCTTGTGAGCCTTCAGAGCCGCGAGGACTGGGGCGACAACATCAACCGAGGCAAATTCGATGAACGCAAAGCCTTTGAACTTTCTCGAGCCTGCAAAGCGGGGCATGCTCACGAGGTTGACCTATCCGTGCGTGGGCTCATGGCACGAGCGCGCTTGGCGTACCTTGCCAAAGGGCGAGAAGAGTTTGCGAAGACTGTCGTGGTCCGAACCCACCGAGAAGTTTTCAATGTAGATGGTTCGCTCTGTAGAGATATGTAGAGTGGACGGCGCATGCAATGCGTACCGATACTGTCGTCGTCGTCATAGTCGGGCAACTCTGTCGGACGAACGTACGCCTCGTCGTCGCTAAGCACCATGATCGGCGACTTGCGGATAGCGTCCGTGAGAATGCGCGTCGTCGCTCCGATGGCTTTCATGCTACAGTACTCGTGCTAATGATCATGCACGTCCTCCGAAGCTTGCGTGTACCGGTTGAAGGTGAGGAAGACGTCGATGGGCATGTAGCCTTCGTCATCCATGGACTGCTGGAGGAACTTGTCGCTTCGGAGGTTGGCCATACTGAGGTAGAACTCCATTTGCTTCTGGACGCGCTTCTTGACACTCATAATGCGATCGATGCTGGCCGGGCGAATCTTGGGATCCCGACCTGATCCTAATCCAAGCGCACCATGTCCTGGAACAAGGACATACACTATACTGGCACTCCACCCTTGAATAGTGTCACAAGGCATCGCACCAGAGACACCGAGCGTCTCGCGGTTCGAGGCGTTCCATGGATTTACACGCTTTCTCTTGAGCTATCTAAGATCCACTAGATGTCTAGACTAGTATGAGGCTCCGATAAACGCTTCGTCCATGGTCCTGCCAACACTGCGAAGTGCATATGGAATACTATTTAGAAAAATGCACACTATTCTATTTCACTGGCGGTCTTGCTCAAGGATTTTAGCCAATGACTGGCGGGACCGATTATAGCATTGAATTATATTGGTGTTTGTAGCAACATTAAATTTGGCAATAAAAACACATATCGGCTATCGGTTGGCAGTCTACGACTTGCACAAGATGGCCGCTTACACTGCTCCGTCCGTCAGCGTCAACGGCGCGGGCTGGGGCCCGACGTCGCTCCCCAAGCAGTTCGCCAACATCCCGTACGCGCCCTTCGGCAAGAGCGACAAGCTCGGTAAGGCTGCCGACTTCATCAGCCAGAACAACCAAGCGATCGGTCGCCCGGGCCGCTTCCAGCGCAGCAACGACCCGTCGGGCGTCAACGCCGAGTTCCAGTACAAGCATGACGCGGTCGAGGACCTCTCGTTCCAGCTCGTTGACACGGCCAAGGCGGTCCGCAACAACACGCGTCTTCGCCCGACGTGGGGCCAGCAGCGCTTCCAGGCGAACCGCAACAACAACCGCAACAACCTGGCGAAGGACAAGGGCCTTGTCGCGCTCGAAACCTCGACGCAGATGAAGAAGGGCCAGCAAAAGCAGAACAAGCGTTGGGACCGCCTCAACACGGCGCGCCGCATGTTTGGCAACAAGCGCCGCGACAACGACACGAAGGAGCGCGTCGCGAGTGTGCAGGTCGACACGACGTGGAAGATGATCGAGCAGTTCGAGCTCGCGCAGCTCGTCAAGCTCCAGGCCAACATCCCGGCCTCGGAGGACCTCAAGACGTGCGGCAAGCTCCGCAAGTACGACGACACGTACGACCGCATCACGACGCGCTTCGCCAAGACGCTCGGCCGTCACGAAGACAAGGAGTTTGTCTCGGTCACGACGACGGACGATCCGATCATCGAGGCGCTCGCGACCGAGGGTGCCGCCACCGTCTTTGCCACGGACGCGATCCTCTCGCACCTCATGGCCTCGCCGCGCTCCGTGTACCCGTGGGACATTGTCGTCCAGCGCGTCGGCAACATGCTCTTCTTCGACAAGCGCGACGCGTCGACGTTCGACATGGTGACGGTCAACGAGACGGCGATCGACACGCCGAACGCGGACGATCCGGACTCGATCAACCACCCGGACCGCCTCAGCCTCGAGGCGACGCTCATTAACCAGGCGTTTACGCAGCAGGTGCTCAAGGCCAACGACGACTTTGTCAAGACGTTCGAAGCCAACCCGTTCAGCGGCGAGAACCTCGCGCCGATCGCGTACAAGTACCGTCGCTTCCAGCTCTCGGAGACGGTCGCCATGGTTGCGCGCTGCGAGCTCCACGCGATCTCGACCAAGAGCGGCGCCGAGCAGACGGTCGCTGCCTTTGCGCTTAACGAGTGGGACCCGAAGCTCAGCGGCAGCGTCGAGTGGCGCAAGAAGATTGATCTTCAGCGCGGCGCGCTCCTCGCGACGGAGCTCAAGAACAACTCGTGCAAGATCGCCAAGTGGACGCACTCTGCGATCCTCGCGGGCGCTGACCAGATGAAGCTCGGCTTCGTTTCGCGTGCGAACGCCAAGGACCCGTTCAACCACACGATTCTCGCCACGCAGAGCTACAACCCCGTCGACTTTGCGGCGCAGACGTCGCTCAACCAGAACAACGCGTGGGGCATCGTCAAGATGCTTGTCGACATCTTCCTCAACCAGCCCGAAGGCAAGTACGTCATGATGAAGGACCCGAACAAGCCCGTCGTGCGCATCTACTCGGTGCCGCTCAACACCTTCGATGATGAAGGCGACGATGACGACGAGGACGACGACGAGGAGGACGACGACCAGGACGACGACGACTTGGACGACGACGAAGACAACTAAATGCAAGTAATGTAGTATTGACGAGGATTGCTTGCTTCATGGTACACTCCGACTGCAACAAAAGCTTCCTCATGCTCAGAGTTGCCATTTTCGTCGAGTCATGTCATCGTAGTACAGCTCCAACTGCACAGGAGCGTGCTACCAATCTTGGGCGGTTGGGGACATTACACAACTCATATTTGGCGTCGATCGGCATCGGATGAGTTAGCGAGAAGGCGATGGAGGCCGGACTTCGAGGAGCATCCAAAGACGTCGGCAGCTGCTTCCGAGAAGCGAGTGTTGCTGCCCTTGCCCGAGCGCGACCAACCTTTGCTTCCCGTCTACGCTGTTGATGGTTCCATTCTTTTTCCTTGACCACGTGTGATACACGCGGCGCCTCTGCGATCGCCGATCATCCCGCGCGACCACCTCTGCTGCTCGACGACTTTGCACCTAACGCAGGACCACGGCGACGCGGCCTTTGCGAGCGACTTCTTTGCAGTCGTGGGCGCGACGAAGCAGGGTCCACCGCGCAGATTCCGCCTTCAACGCGCCCGGCCACATTGCTGTTGCACTTCTCGGGCGTTTCCCACTTGACATTGCACTTGTCAAGTTTGTCAAGTTGCCGTTTGCCATCCGGCGCGTACGCCGTCGCATGGTCGGCGTTGGGATGGCAGAGGGCTTGCACGATTGGTGACGGTCGCCTCTCTGTGTGTCTCCTACAGCGCCGCTTTGCAAGTGAAAAGACTCGCGCGCGTTCGAGGGCGATGGCGACTTCGTTGGGAATGACCGGTCGCGTGTCCAGCACCATGTGGTAGGCGTCGAGATTCGGCGCCAGATTCATAGCGGGATAAAGGCAGGGAGTGCGCACAGCGAAGTGGCTTGTTAGAATCCGGCCGCGAACGGTTACACGTCGTGGCACCTGTCGGCCTTTCTGGCGACGGCCCAATGGAATCTCTCAACGCCGTACCCTCTGGCGCACCAACGCGGGATGCTACCAGTTTGCAATTCTTTATTTTGACTCTCAAGAAGCATGACGACGTCTCGGGGTAGCGCGAGCGGCGCCAACAAGTTTCCAGACTTTCGCCTCTCGGCGTCGCAGGACGCCCATTTTCGCGGAGTCGCATCATCACTCCTTCAGAACGCGATCGTCGAGTGCGAAGACACGGCAAAAGACATCCACGGCAAGTGGAAATACGTGCGCGAGGCCAACGGCCTCAAGCTGTACAAGGCCAAGAAGCCGAGCAAGACAATCCCGGGCCATCAGCTCATGGCGACCGGTATCGTCCGCGGCAACCTTCTCGAGGTGCTCCGCGGGATTTACGCCCACGACTCGGTCTCGTTCCGCGTCAAGTCGGCGCTGCTCATGCCCAAGGAGTACCTCGACTGCGAGGTGCTGCATGCGATGGACGTCCAGGACGAGGCGGCGCCCTTCCGTTTCAATGGCCTCAAGTGGATCGCGACCAAGTGGCCCGGTGGCTCGATGTCCAAGTCGCGCGACTTTTGCTACTTTGAGTCGATGGGCATTGCGCGCAACACGGACAAGAACGGCAACACGTTCGAGTACGGCTACTGCTTTATGGACTCGTGCGACGTCGGCCAGTGCCCGCCGCTCGACGCGATCTCGCTCGTCCGCGCCAAGATGAGCATCCGCCACATCTTCCGCGAAGTCTCCAACGGCTACACGCTCGTCATGACGCACTGCAGTATCGACGCGTGTGGCAAGATGTCTGGCTTTATGAGCGACATGACGACACTTCCTTTCCTCTCGTCGGCCGCCCGCTCGTCCGAGTGCGCCGAATCGGCGCGTCTTTCGTTGGCCACCATGGGCTGTGACGAGTCGGCGTCGACGCGGGGGTCGCGCCGGGGCACGGCCGTGCGCAACCGCGAGTGCATCTGTTGTCTCGCGTCGTTTGCCGGCGGGAAGCGCGAACGGGCCGAGTGCTCGCTCTGCGAGTTTGACGCGTGCAAAACGTGCGTCGAGGACAAGAAGGTCGTCGAGCTCCTCGGCACGTCGATTCGGGCCACGAAGAAGCCCTACTGCAAAAAATGCTTGTCGGCCAACCGCGCGAGCTTGACGTCGCGCCGGTCGCTCTCGTCTGTCTCGGTCGCGCACAGCCAGCGCGGTCTCAGCGGCAGCTACGGCTCGGACCATGCGATAGTCAACGAAGCCGCGAGCGTGCCCCAGCACGGCGCTGTGTGTCCGATTTTGGATTTCGACAACGAAGAAGAGGACGAGTCGGTTTACTCGGGTCTCGACCTCGACCAAACTAGCTCCGTCGCAAGCCTTCACGACGAAAGCAAGGACAAGGTTCAAGTGCTTTACACTGGTCCGCTCGCGACCGGCACGACGTCGTTTGACGGCACAGAGGTCGGCAGCATGTCCCGCATGCGGCTCTACGACAGCTCGCAGAGCTTTGGCGGCGAAGACAGCCCCCATGTGGTACCCCTCCAAGTTGTGAGCTCGTCTGCGCCTGGCACCGACGTCTACGAACCGCGGCCGATGGCCTATCGCGATGCGAGCCCGCGCTCCATGGCGATGAAGATGATGCAGCTCTCGATGCAAGCGCGCGAGACGCACGACATTGTGCGCCGGAACCAAGAATTCGCGCTCAAGATTTAAGCGTTGTCTAGTCGTTAGTATGCGGTCGAAGTATATCTATATAATTAAGTTAATTCCTCTCATCTCAACCGTCGATGTGGCAAGGAAATGACGGATCGAGCGCGCATCGGCCGAGCAGAAGATGAGAGACAACGATGGGTGTCAAGATCGCCGGTGGCGCATGATGCACCACGGGAATCGCGCATGAGATTCGTACTAGTATGCTGCGGGTTCATCTCAGGAACCCTACCACAAGCGTCCGTAGAGACGTCGGCCGATTAGATCGTCATTGATGCCTGGCCGACTGGAAGGAATCCCCAGGGTGGCCGGATCTCGAATCTCCGATGCCATCAATCAAACATGATGGGGACGCAGAAGGAGCCACGGACGCGCGGTGCATTCGGGGGAGCGACTGTCCGATGTCCCACGTCTCGCCGGTCGCGCGTTGTCATGTCAACAGTGTGCTTCAATCAACGTCTCTTGATTACATGCACTGGTAGCATCCACCGGGTGGCAGCTTCGTCCATCGTTCGTCTTTGGAGGCTCGAGGCGCCCATGAGATAGCTGGGGAGAGCACTCAAAACTGTACTATCCATCGTTTTTGAAAGGCCATAAACAAGTCGCACTACTTCTGTGTAAAGTCAAACTGGACTGGGCCGGTTGCGGGCTGGAATGTGAGCTCGCCGTCAGCGACGCCTGGGGCAAGCGTAGCGTCCACTTCGTCGTTGGTGTCGCCGCTGAACCACTTGTCCATAACGTACGACGCCGCCGCCGAGACATCGTCGTTCTCATCGTAGCAAAGGTCCTCGATCGCGACGACGCATCCGCTTTCTTCGACTGCCTGCTTGGCCGCGTCGATGGTGCTCGTCTCCTGACCGACGTGGAGGACGTTGCTAATCGCCTCGAGCACCGCAAGCTCGATCGCCGGGTCCTCGTACTTGTCGAGGAGCGGGCATAGCGACACGAGCGCGCCAAGGCGCACGAGCTCGCCAATGACGTTGCTGTTGCCCCGCACGAGAAGGCTGCACGTCGCCCACGCGGCCTCATGCTTGACGTCGTACTCGGCCCACGCGAGCTGCTCCAAGATAGCGGGAACCACTCCAGGCGTGTCGATCACGGCGTGCAGCTACTCCATACAAACAATATGAGATGCCTCTTTCGAGGGCGCACGACGTACGAGCGCCTCGCTCCCGGTCGTCAAGTGCGCGAGGATCCAGCACGTCTCTTCGCGGATGCTGCGACTCATCGAGTTGAGGACACGCGGGAGCGCGGGGAGGAGCTTCGCTTCGATCGCGACGACGGCGAGGCTCTCGTCCATGGCCAAAATCTGCCCGAGGAGCTGCAAGAGCGGGTGCAGGAGCATCGGGGACGCATACAAGTGGAGGAGCTCGACGAGCTTGGGCAAAACGCCGGTCGCCACAAAGGTCGACACGAGCGACTTGTTGTGCGTCGTCATTTCAATGATGGCCCACGCGCAGTCGCAGAGCGTGAGCGCCTTCTCGTCCAAGGTGAGGCTCTCGGTGGCGTCGTCGTCAGCCTCGGCCGACTCGTCGTCGCCGTCGATCGTCTGCATCGGCCGGAGCGCAGACTTTTGGACCGTAAAGACCGAGTACTCGCCGGTTTCGAAATTGACATCGACATCGACGACCTCGACCGTCGCCGCGTCAATCTCGCGCATGAGTCGCACGAGCACGATGTCGTTGGGCGCCGGGCGTCCCGAGTCCATCTGGAAGTAGCGCCACGTCGCGACCGCAGGCGACGGCGCGGCCGGCTCTTTCGCAAGGGCCTTGGCTTTTTCAATGACGAGCTGCTTCATTACGTTGGCGAGGACCGTCATGACATCGGTTTCGAGTTGCGGCGTGAGGAGGCCGAGTCCCGCGAGGAGCTCCGGCATATCGATCATGCTACGAAGGAGCCAGACCGACGCGCGGCGTAGACTTGGTGTGCTCATGCGGATGTGCGGAAGCACGGTTTGTGGCGGGCAGACCCCGACGACCGCCTCGCACATGACCTTGGACTCGCTCGCGACATTGCCGAGGCACCACGCCGCTTGAATTTGCAGCTCCGAGATACCGCACTGCAACAAGACGACCATCTTGGGCAAGACACCGCTTTGAACGACGTGCAGTGAGCGGTCCATGGACGCAATGAAGCGCAGCGCAAAGGCCGCATCCGACTGCATCGAGACGTCCGCGAGATCGAGCGCACCAACAAAGAACGGAATCGCTGCGAGGATCGTCTGCCAGAGCGGGATATGCTGCGGGTCGCTATCGTCAAAAAGAGGCGGCACGCCCGAGCTCATGAGGTACACGAACGCGCGGAGGCTCTTTCGCCGCACGTCCGCTTCGGCGTGCTTGAGACCGATGAGAAGCGCTTGGCAGCGCTGCGCAATCTCGTGGAGCATCTGCGACTTCTCTTTGGGCATCAACTCAGCCAGCGCCTTGGCTTGCGCCGCCATGTTGCGCCGCTGGTTGTAGCCGTCCTCCTTGCGCGCCTTACGGATCGACACCTGCCCGCGCGCATATGAGCCATCGTGGCGACCATCACGTGCATCTACCTGCGTGTCCATACGGGCGCGCCGGCCATTGACGCCGTTGAGCATGCGCTTGATGGGCTGGCGGTGGTCCTTCTTCGCCTCCGACATGTCGACGATAACCAAACGTCTTGTACGGCGACGCCAACTTCGATTCGTTCCACGACCCCGTTATCCGGTGGCGCCCCAGTTCTTCGAATCCGGATACGACAGAGTAACCGACTCACGAATTCAAACCGACTAACTGCGACGTCTAACCGGTTCATAGCCGACTAGTCGAGAGCCGTGGCAAATCCGGTTAGTCGGTCATGGCATGACGTCATCGTGAGGGCATTGTCTATGTCACGGTGTGGGCTGCCTAGTCAACACAACGCGCTTACGAAGAGCATCATTTACGTAGTGCGCGAGGCCCATCTCAAGCACCTGCTTCGTGTACAAACGCATGTGCTACGCAAAAGAAAAACCCGTCACGACGCTGAAGCTGTCGACGCCGGCAAAAAGCCATTGCCGGCTCTATGCAGTCGGAGATCGTTGATCTTCGCTGCTGCTTGACTGCTTGGTGCTTGTTGGTTGTGCCTGGCTGGCTGGACGATGCTGTGGACACGGCGCAACCATCTGTGTGGGTGTACTTTGTCCACGAAACACAAGAGGGCTGGCAGGGACAGCGACAGACAGCACATGTGGGCGACTGCATAGGCTGCGCGCAATGCGCGCACGTGCTGGGAATACGCCGCGCACGTTCTTTTCCGGATATCGACGGGAACGGTGGCCGACGGCTACGACGGGACGTGGGGCGCTTGGTCCACGCGTTCTTTCTGCCAAGTAGCCAGCGAGTGTGGTTGCGACTTCGCCGGTACAAAATGGCGCCGAACTAAGATCCGAGTGCGACGGTCGACTCGACAAATGCAGTGTATGCAGCCACAACGATCGATGCGTGCACTGTCCATGACACAGGGCACAAGCGGAATGAATAAAAATGTGCATGCATTAATTGTTGCCGTCTTCTAATAAATAACTAAGAATACCAGGTGGAGATGGACGGCAGTGTAGGGAGCGGTGCCGCTTGTGTGAGCGACGGAAAGGTCTTGAGCGGCGAAGGTGCGCGGTCCTGCGGTGGCGCATAGTCGTACGCGTAGTAGTGCGATGGCACGTAAGCGTACTCGGTGTGTTGCTGCTGCATCGCATGATGATGGTGCTCGTACGGCTGGTAGTGCGGATGGCAGTTGATGTAGTTGATTTCGCGCACCGAGAGGTCAAACGGCTTGAGCTTCGGAAGCTCCGTGCGCGCTTCGTGCTTTGTGATGGGCTGGATCTCAGTGGCCGACGAGTGCGACGACCGGTACGGCGGGCTCGACACCATTGGCTCGTCGGGCAGCGAGCCCTCGTCATCGTCTTCGAGGTCGATGCTGTTTGGGTTGTGCAGCAGCATGGCGAGGCGGCGGTGCTGTTTCCGGATCTGAATGTCGTACGCGGCGCGGTCTTCGCCCTCAAACATGGTCGAGGCCGTTTCCATCGAGAGGATGCTCTTGCGCAGCGAGCGGATGTGGCGGTGCGGCCAGCGCGGGATGCCGACGCGGCGGCACACCTTCTTCATGAGCGTCGTGCAAATGCCAAAGAGCTTGGCGACTTCGGCCAGCGGCTTCTCAAAGTGCGGGCGCAAAATGTCGATCGTGATGTGCTTGGAGAGGCTGTGCGTTGCGTTGGGACTGAGCTTCTTCTTGGACGGCGAGACCACGAGCTTCTTTGCCGACGAGGACGAGCTAATGTCCACCAAGCAGCGTGTGGACCGAGCAGCAGGTTCCATGAGGTCGTTTACAACTGTAGCGGATTGGAGAATGGAACTCCATGTCGAAGTTAAGCTCGCGCAGCAAGATTGGGGAACCGCGTCCGTGACGCGCACCGACGCACAGGTCCAATTCCACTCTCTTGTATACTTTTTGCCAATCTTTTGTATTGCAGCTTTTGATTGGCTATATGGGGAAGGCGGATCCAATCACATCCGCGTATGCGATGCACGCGCCTGCGATTGGTTGCGACGATTGGCTGCGTGTATGGTCTTTGCAAGCCGATCTATCTACCATCTTGCGTCACGCGCGCGAAGGAAAATTCGCATTTTA